ACCGCTCTCCTGGACAGCCCTCGTCCTATCGCTCTGACGAGGAGATCATGGCTAATCTGGACGGCCTGCGTGGGGTCGGTGTGGAAAGGTGAGCGTTCGGAGCTCAGCAGACATCATCTGTTGCCAAATATCTTGAGGATGAACTTATTTTGTCGTCTTCTGCAGTATGTCTGGAGATCCCCTGTCCAAACTTCCTATTCCACACAAAATGGCTGTTTTAGCCACCATGGATGAGGTGAGAGTGCAAAGATTTCAATGAAAATTAAAGTGATTTTATTTTTTATTTAATAATAATAATAATATTTAATGACATTGTAATTTTAAATAATAATAATTTTCAATATTCTCAAACAATTATTGGTAAAACTTTACAATAAGTCCCATTAGTAATGCATTGCTAACATTAACTAACATTGAGCAACGTCTCATTTTCTTTTGTTTTTATATTGTTTTTTCTAATGTCAATATTATATTTATAAATTTTTATTTCAGTTTTAATTATTTCAGTACTTTAAATAAAAATTTTAAATGTTAACTAATTTAAATAAAATATTTTGTAATATTTTATTTTATTTCAGTTAACATTTATTTGATCATTTTTATTGCGTTTATTTAACAAAAATGTCTCATTTTGTTTTGTTTTTATATATTTTTTTCCTAATATGTCAATATCATTTTTATTAATTTTTATTTCAGTTTTAATTATTTTAGTACATTAAATAAAAATGTGAAATGTTAACTAATTTAAATAATAAAAAAATATATATTTTATTTTATTTCAGTTAACATTTTATATTTTTATTGCATTTATTTAACAAAAATGTCTCATTTTGTTTTGTTTTTTGTTTTTATAATTTTTTTTCTAATGTCAATATAATTTTTATTAATTTTTACTTCAGTTTCAATTATTTTAGTACTTTAAATAAAAATTTGAAATGTTAACTAATTTAAATAAAATGTTTTTTAATATTTTATTTTATTTCAGTTAACATTTATTTTATAATTTTATTGCATTTATTTAACAAAAATGTCTAATGTTGTTTTGTTTTTTTTGTTTTTATAATTTTTCTCTAATGTCAATATAATTTTTATTAATTGTTATTTCAGTTTTAATTATTTTAGTACTTTAAATAAAAATTTGAAATGTTAACTAATTGAAATAAAATATTTTTTAATATTGAATTTTATTTCAGTTAACATTTATTTTATATTTTTACTGCATTTATTTAACAAAAATGTCTCATTTTTTTGTTTTCTTTTGTTTTTATAATTTTTTTCTAATATGTCAATATCATTTTTTATTAATTTTTATTTCAGTTTTAATTATTTTAGTACTTTAAATAAAAATGCGAAATGTTAACTAATTGAAATAAAATATTTTTTAATATTTAATTTTATTTCAGTTAACATTTATTTTATATTTTTATTGCATTTATTTAACAAAAATGTCTCATTTTGTTTTGTTTTTTGTTTTTATAATTTTTTTCTAATATGTCAATGTAATTTTTATTTCAGTTTTTTTATTTTAGTATTTTAAATACAAATTTGAAATGTTAACTAATTGAAATAAAATATTTTTTAATATTTTATTTTATTTCAGTTAACATTTATTTTATAATTTTGTTACTTTTATTTCACAAAAATGTCTTATGGTTTTAGTTAAGTTTTTGATGTAATATACAGTATAATACATACATTATGTACAGGTGCATCTCAATAAATTAGAATGTCATGGAAAAGTTCATTTATTTCAGTAATTCAACTCAAATTGTGAAACTCGTGTATTAAATAAATTCAATGCACACAGACTGAAGTAAATAAATTAACTTTTCCACGACATTCTAATTTATTGAGATGCACCTGTATACTGTATAATATAGTAACCCTGTCTCCAACCCATTTCAGATCCGTTGGCTGTTGGAGGATGAGATAGTCTCTGCTCTGCGGCACTCGTCTGTTATCAGCTTCTCGACGCTGCAGAAAGTGTCGGAGCACGTGTGTCGCTCCAGCGGCCGCCCGCAGTGCCACTGTGAGCTCGTTCCCCTGCTGTTCGTATTTGGTCCCGAGCAGTCGCTGGAAAAGTTTCAAGAGGTTTGAACTCATGCGATGACCTCTATTATTGGTTATAAAACTCTCCAGGAAAGGTCAGGAACGAGATTATGTTCTGCCCCGCTGTTTAATAACACGTCCCTGCTTCCTCGCTGCAGGAGTTCAAGAGGTTATCTCTTCCTGGTTAC